CATAGCAATACGAAAACAGACATTGGAAGAAACATTCGGTCATCCATTCCATGTGTTAAACCTATAAAGGCTTATATTATAATTAGTGATAATCAATATTATTAATATGCTCATGATGTTACCACATTAAACTTTGGGATAGCTACAAGTTTTAAAGTTAAAAAAAAAATTTAAATGATACAACAGTTTCCTACTTTTTAAATTCCGAAATTAATTCAATTGTCTTAATATTGGAAATAATTTAAAGAGTGTAATGTAATTATTTATATAAAAAAATTTGAAGCTTTTTATTCACTTTAGTTTTTTCGGTTTTATTAACTTATAAGGAATTCATAATTTCATAAAAAATGGCCATTAATTTTTTTTCAAGTGAAACGAAAGCTACATGAGTTTTATAATATCTACATAATGACCTTTAATACATACATTGTTAGAATTTTTGTAAAAAATGAATAACAGAAAATACAGACATTGGTAGTAACCGAAAATTAATATTTTAGCTAGAAGAGAACAAGAAAGATTTTGTCAAAATCTGACGAATCACTAATGAGGAAGGAGAGACTGTTTAAAAGTAACTACTATTACCACTTCTCAAGCAATCAAACTATATTTTTATTTTTTTTATCTCACCTTCCTCTCCAGTGGATTCGATAGTGTTTTGTTCTTTCCTCACTTAATTTGGGTGGTACTTTTTATGGTGGTTAATGGATTTACTTTTTAACTTCAATATTTACAAGGTTTTTACGAATTATTATTAAAGTCGGTCATTACAAAGCATCCAGTATTTGGGTCGTTCAGTTGAAAACCTTCATAATTATTATCCAAATTGTTTAATTTTAAGCGAAAAACTCTTTCTTTACAGATTTTAATCTTCCTAAATATTAAAAGAATTTAATCATAAATTACATGTGTTTGTATATTTACTATTTTTAAATTCGAAAAAACGAAATAAACGTTTAAAAAAAAATCAAGTATTTAGAGCTTTTTATTCATACAATACTAGACCGGAAAATCTAAATTTTCAGTTAAAAGTCAGTGGCCGGTAGACTCTAATAATTTAGTAGCCACTTTTTTTTTCAAACTTAATAATTCGGTGGCTGATATCTGTAGGTTCATTCTCATTTAATGGCCACTCTTAGCAAATTTTGTTTTACTAGGATTAAATCATATGTTTAAAAAAAATTCCCATTCGAAATAATTTACGGGTATACAAAGTTAATTCAACAATGAAACATTATAAACATATGAAAAAATCTAATTGAACATACTGACCTTAAAAAAACTTTATTTAAAACTGTTTGGGGAGGCAAAATACATTTAATTTACACACCACAACTTTGAAATATGTGAATTTTTAAAAACATTACAAATTGATGCATTCTGTAGGATCAAAATTTTGATTAAAGACATTAAACATTTTAATAAAAATTCAGTTTTCCAGAGTCTTTCTACATTCATGTACTTAAATCATTAAACTGCTTTCAAGGGGGGGAAAACTATGGGAAAAAGGAACCGTATTCATCTAATTAAAGTCACCATGTTTTTTGTTGACTCACCGTAATTTTCAGGTCTATACAATAATCTCAGCCGCTCATTAAAAAAAAGAATCATTCAAGCAGAGAGAGACAAAAATCTTATATATCTGCATTCAAAAGTCCAACATTAAGATTTACACTTAAAATTTCCTTATAAGCGACCTTAAAATAATTTGTCCTATATTTAGGATCGAAGAACAATTGAATTAAACGAGTAAATTTATTTTTAACATCAAGCATCAGGGTTGCTAATAATTTTGTATTTTGAATGATGAATAATTTAAAAGTGTCAAACAAATAGATTTCATCTTTATTTATACTTGAACTAGATTCCGTAAGAATTTTACTTTGTATGGCAATAAGGAATCGGAAAGAAAGTGAACCGCATACCCTTAAAGACATAGATTAAAATGAATAGTTGCCCGTATTTTCCTTATTTTTCCTATTCAGCAAATTTTAGAGTCAAAATATGCATTTTCAGAAGGATAGAAATCTGTATTATTTTAACTTCAAAATAATATTGAAATTTGAAATATATAAAAATAGGAACTTTTTAAATTAATAATAAATTAATACGCATAATTATAACTAGGTATACAAATAATAATTAAAAAATTCTATGAAACTAAAAATAGGATCTGATTGTTTCGTTCTGTAAGATGATTACATTTTGAATGTATGCTAAGTACTCTTTATTGTAGTTAAAATTAAAAAAGTTATTTTAATTTGACTACAAAAATATTTTCATACATATATAGGGTAAATTAAAACTACTACATTGTAACAAATCCAGATCAAATTACGGTAAACGTTTCAGCACTCAAAGCTTCAATATTTTTTTCCCCTTAAAATCCATTTTGTACCGGAACATGCTAAGAAACAAAAATCTGATATACTGTAATTTTCATGGTAATAATCACCATAAAATCACTGAATTACTCTAATCCAATAATTGTTACTATAAGAATTACGATATAATATTTTACGGGAAAATGGATTTTACGGTGCCTGTACTTTATACCGTAATTTGATACAGGCACATATATACACATAATCTGACACCGTAATTTGATACAGATTGTTTTACAATGTATACGCGTTACATTTTTTAAATATAAAATAGTAGTGTCTGCTTTTACATGTAGCAGTAACACACAAAATGTTCGAATGCATGCAAACTGGCACGAATTACTTCCTATGCTGTTGCTTTATTTATTTGTCTGAACAACACATAAATAAAGCAATAACTCAAGAAAACACTGAAACATTTCACGTCTTGACGTTACATGTTCAAGCCCCGTATCTTAGCTATTTTGTACGTTTAAGTATCAAGGATGAGTGTTGTACCTTTTGTCACGTGTACTTTTAAGTATTGATAATTTATTAGAATCTAAAGGCAGATTTAGCATTATTTTTATTTCGAATTATGACTTTAATCAACGTATCACAAAGCTGTTAGCATCCGAAACTTTGAATTAATACTTTGATAGTAGAAAGAAATTTCATCAGTTAACAGTAAATATTTTCAATCTAATTTCATTGTCTGAACATAAATTTACATAACTTCGACACTGTATTCCATTTGATTAAAGTAGAAAAGATTTTTAAATATTTTAATTGGATTTTATTTAAATGTGGTGATTGTGCTTTGAGACATGTTCCATACGCATAATTTTGTATAACTTCAATATTTCTTACTACGGAGAGATGTTGTTGCTGTTGTTGAAAGCGATGAACTAGATCCTAAATTAAACAGTGATCTAGTTTCGATGGGTGATCTAGTTACGCCACTGATGTAGTTTCTGACGCATCAGCTAGGTTAACTGTGACTGTATTGTAATTGTTCATGTTTAGTTTCAGTTTGTATTTATGTTTAGTTTCAGTTTGTTTTCTTTGGTATAGCGTGCTTCCTTGCTTTGCCTTGTTATGTTCAAAAAAATAATAAAACGTTGTAAAGTTTAATAACGCTGTTTTTCTTTCTAAAATAGAGTTGTTATAGTTCTAGTTTTTTTCATGTTTTAACAGCTGTTGCTTATCCTCATATATCTGACATTAGTCAGATCAACTCCAAAAAGTTGTTGACAGCCAGAAAGTCGATGACAAGAAGGGGATCGAAAGTTAAGTCCGCCCTGGATAGGCCGACACAATCAACTATATGTTTTGTTGAGGCTGGATGGACACAGCATTTTATACAAGTCGGGTACATTTTTGTGCCACTTTCGAATGTTAGACATTTTAGGTGACCAGTTGAGAATCTGGTCAAGGCAGTCTGGGAACTTTGATCGCAATTGATTCCCAGAAGGGTGCCAGGATATGTTGCGGTGTACCATTGGTGCGTAGGTGGAGTTTGCCAGATTGATTTTTGTCTATATGTTTCATTGGAGTAAAGTTCCTGATAAGTAAGTGATGACCCGGTGGGCATATCTTCCCTCACTGCCCTCTTTGGCCAATCTATCTGCTATCTCATTGCCACCAACCACCAATAACGAAGAGATGTGTAAGTTAAAATCTTTAAATACAGGAAATATCATATTCTATTAAGATGTTTTTAGTTTAATGTGTCAGAGGTGGAAAATCACCACGCTGCACTTCATTGAATTAATTAAAGCAACATCAGATAAGTGAAACAACATATGTTGCGTACATATGTTGGTTACATATGTACGCAACGCGTTGCTGTTACATATGTAACCAACATAAATTAGCTATTCTAGTTGCAGTGCATCAAAGTTAGCCAGATAATTTCCATTCACCTTTAATATTTAAAAAAAAAAAAAACAGAACACAAATTCTGCGATATTAATTTTAAAAGTAAAACATAACACTGATGGCATAGTTAATGTTCCAAAAAGATAAATTAGGCTAAGGCTTTAAAAGCATATTAAAGTGTTTTCTAACATTTAAAAGGGGAGGCATGTTCTCTAATCTATAATTTCAATCGACAAAACATATTTTGCTCTAATTTTTTTAAAAAAAAATTAGCTAGGAAGTTTAAGTTGTTGTGTCCGTGCTGTTATTTTGTTCTGTTATTATTTCATGATCCGTTCAATCAGTCAAAACACTATTCTCAACTGTTTGGAAATTAATGACACCACATTTCATCGAATTAAAAAGACGGATTACAAAAAAATACATATATTTTTTTGAACAATTGAAGCTAGAGGAATCGCTATTTCCTCTTGTATAGTTTGATATATTTCATAAATATCATGAGTATTGTAAAATAAAGGAATGACTTTATATATAAAAAAAAAAAAACCTTACGCTACTATTATACGACGATTTACTTTTTTCGACATAAATTTTGAGTTCTTAGAACAAACCATCATGCTCACGATTGTTAAAACGTTTCCATAGAAAGTAAACACATGTCCATCTAGACGTAATATTTGAAAAGAAAAAAAAAATGTTTGAGCCAAGGACAACTGTTTTGAGCCTTCTTTCCAAATAGTCAATGTTCTTTCGATTCGAATGTCGGTTTCCGTTGTTATGTGATACAAGCAACGCATTACAAAATATATTTACGAAAATCATATGTCAGGTTGCAAAATTTTTCATTGATATAATTTTAAGCAAAAACTAATTTTTTTCATTAAAACCGATTAACATTATTTAATTAATCAATATGTGCAACTTCAAACTCCCTAATTGCGTGACGAAAATAAAATTTCATGCGCAATGTTTATTATCTATCCAGGGTAAGTAATCCTTTTTTTTAAAATTGTATAAACTGTTTAAGTTTAGTGCGTTTGCGTCAAGGTTCGTAACTTTGAAACTTTAAAGGACCTTCTCCAAAAAAAAATAAGCTCTAAGGCAGCAGTTCCCGATTTTTTTTCTTTTTGTTGCGGAACCCTAAATGATCAACCTTCTCTAGGTGGAACTCCAACTTTATAAATAAAGTTTAAGTTAATTTAAACATTATAACCTATGAAAGAGACAACATTTAGAATATTTAATTAAAAGAATGAAGATTTTTTTTCTCGTTTGATCATTAATTATTTAAATTTAGGTTTTATTTCCTACAGTTAAATTTGTAGTCTTTGTTCCAGTTAATATATAAATTTGTTTCTGGTGTATATACGCAAGTTGAAAATGATTAAATTAAGCCAAATTGTGGTTTATTTCGAAATGGAAATAACGAAATAGGAAAAAATATTTCCTTTATTGAAGAATTTAGTTGTTTTGATTTGAAAAGCGCGATAGGAAATACTAATAGAATATTTTATAAATGTTTGTTTTTCTCATAATTTGTTCAAGATATTGTTTTAAGAAATATTATATTTTTCTTAAAAATTGCCATTTATGTTTCATAGGCATTTTACTTGAAATAATTTCATGAAGGCAATCGTAAGATTTAATAACTTATGAATTATAGGTTGATTTTAAATATTATCAGAGATTTCAAAACTCGTAACTGGTTATTAGAAGTACTAACTCTCGGAACCCTAGGAGTCCTCGGAACACCATTTAGGAACCGCTGCTCTAAGGAATCCGTAAATGATCTCGCATTTTTTTTTTTTTTTTATATTTTTATCTCCCACCTTTCTTTGTGTCTCCAAATGTTACCCCTTAGGAAAATTTGCCATAGAGAAGCCTATGGTAATCTATGGCAACCTATGGCTACCATAGAAATTTGTATGGCAAGATACCATACGACTATGGTTACANCCCCCCCCCCGAAAAAAAATCCTGGCTACGGCCTTGCTCGAAACCCTTTTAACTGTGCGATGGAACCCTAGGAGTCCTCGGAACACCATTTAGAAACCGCTGCTCTAAGGAATCCGTAAATGATCTCGCATTTTTTTTNTTTTTTTTTTTTTTTTTTATATTTTTATCTCCCACCTTTCTTTGTGTCTCCAAATGTTACACTTCACCTTTACCGTGTCACCCCGCCCCGCAGTGGACTGATCGTTAAGACACGGTTCCCAGCAGATCACCGAAAGTAAGCATCACTGGCTACGGTCAGTGTGCGGGTGGGTGACCACTTGGATCAGTCTGCGTAGGGACCGAGGGTGTGCGGTATTGGTCCTCGTTAAACTGTGCTACCGTAAAGTGCTCGACTTCGCTCACAGGTCGTCGGGCTACCGAAGCTGGGGTGCCATCCCCTCCGCAGAGGATTAAAATTGTGATGGCGTGTCTTCGAATCATCCTCCGGGATGTTTCCCAGACCGTCGCCAATAGCCCTTTGTGCAGCTCTAGTGCGACGTAAATTAACAACAACCGTGTCCCCCCCCCCTTGTCACAATTCACGCTATGTCACATAAACATATGCTTGCAGTTCAGAAACAGTGCGATGCTACAGGTTATAGAGCATGCTGCAATTTTTTTAAAAAAAACTTTAAGCTCGTGTTTTGGTGTCATTTGTGAGTTTAACAATGATAATTGTTATATGCGTTCTTACTTAAATAAAAAAATATAAAAATAAATAAAATATAAATATTTAATCTTCTTATTTTATGACTGTTTTTTAATTTTTATTCTAACCAAAATGTTCGATGTTGCACTTCTTGTAAATTCCCTCTTATCACGATTTCCTGAGCCCCCTCCAGGGTGGCATCCTTTGTAGGTAACCCCTAATAAATAATTAGTCATCGATTTTAATTATTTTTATTTACATGGAAAAATTTCGCCAAATTGGCATTTTTTTTTCTTCAAGTTTAATTATCCTTTTAAATATTTCAACAGTATATCGTTTTACTTACTATGTTTGAAATCCTTGAGAAAAAAATAAAGTAGAATAAAATATGCTCTTAAGGCATCGTAAACTAAGATTTAAATAGGAAAAGACAATCATTGCAAAAAAAGGGATTAAAATAACTAGTCAGTTTGTTGTGATTCTTATTGAAAAACCAATACATTCCACTAGGCCCATTAGACAAATAAATGGCTCTTCCTTTGCTTTATTCACCTCATTAGCAATTGCATAGAGTTTAGAGATCGTTTTTTTTCCCCTGCTACCTCTAAACGGCATTGTTTGTTTTTTTAGAAGATTTCTAAAAAATTCTATAATTATCGTGTGGATACGAAACATATTTTCACAAAAAAGAGAGATTATAATATTGCAGACGTGAATTTTTTTTTAAACTATACCACTTGTTTTATGCCAACGCAGCGATAGATTTTTTAACATGCACTCAAATGTAATTGAAACTCTGTATCTACAATATTTTAAAGCAAGTTTGTTCTGATATTTGTTAACTAAATTTGATGCTAACAAATACGATGCAGCTTCGCTTGGCATGAAAGGAATTGGGATTCATTTTTAAAGCATAAATATAAAAACAAAAACCTTGTTCTTATCTTGGTATCGTGGTTATACCTCCAAGAGAGGTGGTTATACCAAATGTGTAATACTGCAAATAATACAACTAAACTAAGGGACTTTTAGCTGCAAAGATTTTGATGATTTTTGGCTCATGTAAACTAGTGGCTATATATATTGACTTGAACTCTTTTTTTCTCCCTTGAATAAATGTCACAGGGATTTAAACAAATTTAGCTCATTATCTAATTTTTGTCAAATTTTGTCTTGGTCATTTAAGATAGTATACCCATGATACATGGAAATGGAAAATGTTAGTATGTAGGAAAAAAATTAACATAATTGGCTGGTAACACATAAGGCATGAGTCGCGAAACTTTTTTGATCATAGACCCCTATATAATTTTTCGAAATCTCCATCGACCCCCATAAAAGTAATTTTCTGTTAATTAAAATGAAACTCTATTAGATACTGTGTTTGTAATTTTTTTTTATGATTTTAAACATTTATTAAAGTAATAGTACATTGTGTAACAATAGTTTCATGAAAAATATATTAATGTTGAAATTTAATTACTTTAATATTTATTAAATAATAAGCAATTATAAATATGTAGAAATAATAAGTAAAGTAACTACAGATTTATTGCTTCTTAATCAATGAGATGGGTGTGCCTGGTGTTTTATTTTCAAGGTTTGCTATATTGGGTTCAAAATTGGTCAATTTTAATTTTAAATCCCCTCGAAACTCCACATTTAATTTATTTCTGTTCTTAGTTAAGATTGAATTCACTTGACTGAAACCGGCTTCAACCATATAGGAACTTGGAAATGCTAGCATAAATGGCTGAGCTATTTCGTAAAAGCTTTACATATTTTTGGATTATATTTATATTTGTCCAAAATTTGCTTATTGTTAAATTTTTAAAAAGCGTCTTTGCTTCAAGATCCGATAATAATTTAGCAAGCTCGGATCGACCCCCGCTTTTGTTAAATAGACCCCTGGAGGTCTATATAGACCACTTTGGTGACCTCTGACTTAAGGTTACCGACACCGCACTGTTATTATGGAATTATTTAAGGGACTAAACCCTAAATTAAAGGGACTAAGGGTAAAGGAAGTAGGGATTTAGTCATAGCTCACCGAGAAATGACTCTCGGTGGCTATGATTTAGTCCCTTATTAAAGGGACTAAACTCCTCCTAAAAATTGAAATATTCACCAATTTTGAAAAAAAAAATAGTTTGCAGGGTTGCCACTCGACGGGGAGAACAGGGTAAACCTGGAAAATGCAGGGAATTTTGATTTTTTCTTTACAAACTGGGAAAATACAGGGAATTTTGTTTCTTATTTTTGTCTTTTAAAAAATGGTGACCACTAAAAGCGTAATCTATGGGATTTCTAACCATGATATTTCAGCTATACTAAACTATTTTATTTACTATAGCATTATTTAAGTATGTTCAGCTATTTTTCCAGAAATTCAAACTAATAAATATAGTTAGTCCAATATAGCTTACACAAGAGCACAGTAATTGTTCTTTCCTCTTAATGTATTGTGTTTAATATGCACTGAGAAAACACAGGGAATTTTTTTTCCAGATTTGCGTGGCAACCCTGGTTAGTCAAATAACAGAATATTTTAGTTTTTACATAATTTTAGAAATATTAAACAGAGCATAGTTGAATTTAAAAAAATAAATTTTTATTTAAAAAGATTTAACCAATTATCGCCAGGTGTTTTAATTCAGTAAATAATTTATCATGAAATTAATGAAAACAAATACGTATTAAATCCTAAGAAACTCAAATTTCAAGTTGAAAGTATACATTAAAAAAAAGTAATGAATTGTTAAAATATCAGTTGATTATGCAATGGGTGGAGAATTCACAACTTCGACTGTCTCAAGATAGTTCGAAGAATCACTGATAAAAAAAACATCTTATCCTATTGCGAGCTCTTAAAAAAATAAACAGCGAAGAATTAACCAGGTAGAAAAGGAAAGAGAATAACTTTTTATCTTCGAATCANCTATTGCGAGCTCTTAAAAAAATAAACAGCGAAGAATTAACCAGGTAGAAAAGGAAAGAGAATAACTTTTTTCTTTATCGCTCGTACAAAGTTCAAGCATTGATAAAAATAAAAAAAAATAATAAAAAATAAAATGCATTTCGCAGTGTGTATTACTTGAGGTGACATCAGAAGTTGTTCACGTTGGAATATCATCATTGCTTATCCAATATCCTGATTGGTTGGCGGGATAATTCTTCATTAACATAATGAAAAAGAAAAATAATTCTTCATTTACATAATATGATGAAAATTTTTGAAAAATGTGGACATGAACATCGTTACATACCTTATGTGAGTGTGATATCATTAATCCTATTGGATGTTTATTTAGTAGCTTTAGTTATTTTTTTTAATTTCTTAGC